GGGGGGGGATCCAGCTGTCAGCGCACCTACCTGCATCGAGGCTCCTAAGTGTTCCAAGGCAGAGGCCTCCCCCAACAGCAGTCCGTGAGCTCGGCACACTCCTATAGGGATGGACATGTTAGGAAGTACTTTTGTGGAACAGACTAAAGTGGAGGGCACGTGCTTTCTGTGGATCGTCCGGGGCCCTCCAGGACGAACACCAGGAGTCCTGGTGGCATAGTGGTTACGCATTGGACTGCTAACAAGGTCAGCAGTTCAAAACCACCAGTTGCCCCGAGGGGAACGATGGGGCCCTCTACTCCCGTCAAGAATTGCAGCCTCCTCGGAAGAAGCCCACAGGGGCGGTTCTGCTGGGACGCAGGGTCGCTGTGAGTCGGCATTGACGCGGTGGCAGCGATTCGAGTTTGTTGTGACGGGCCAATGCTGAGGGTCACTGGATAAAAGCCCCGGACTCATCACCATGTCCACTTTGCTCGAGCAGGGGGCTCTGACCCTCACCTACCTGCCTGACCCCTGGCCCAAGGTAGACTAAATCCATTGGGTGCAGGGACACTCGGCCTGAGAGATAGGGGTCCCTCCCCTTCCCAACTACTTGGACCTAATCCACTCCTGTGGCAGTGGAAGCGGCGGTGGGGCACACCCGTGGACAGTGGAAGACCTGAACTCCATCCCACTAACCCCCACTCCCCGGCAACGTGACCTAGTCCCGGCTGAAGCTCCTCCCCATCTCAGCAGCCTGTGGGCAAGAGGAACAAGTCCCCAGGCTGCCCTGACCACCCACTACAGTCTGAGTGCCCGGTAGCAGGGCTGGATGTCCTGTCTGGAAACCACTGTGGGTGAGCCCAAGCCCCCTCCCAGACATCTGGGGAAGGACCCCTCCTCTCCTCGTCCCCTGGCCTGCCCTGACTTGCAAGTGGCATTAGCCCCACCTGGCCATTGTCCCTATGGGTGGCTCTGCCCAAACCGCTGTCACCAGTCTTTGGATTAGGGCCACCGACTCCAGTCTGAGGAATCTGTGCTGGCACCCTTGTTAGGGCCTCTGCTGGTAATGGCAAGGTCGCTGGTTTGAACCCACCCACCGCGCTGAGAGGGAAGGGTGAGGCTGCCTACTCCCCCGTCAAGAATCACTGTCTCCAAAACCCACAGGGGCAGCTCTACCCTGTCCTGGAGGGTCGATGGGAGTTGGGATGGACGCAGTGGTGGCGGGGGCGGTGGGGGGCTTGGTTTGGGGTCAGTTCGTTTGAGAAAGACGCCTTAGCGGTGCGGTGGTGAAAAGCCCGCTGCTGACCAGAGCTCCGAGGGAGAAAGCTGAGGCCGCCTGCTCCTGTAGAGTCGGGGGACCCTCTGGGTGCTTCGCCCCATCCTGGAGGGTCACTATGCATCAGGATCCACTGCATGCCAGAGGGTCTGGGCGGGGCTTTGAGGGCAGCCCTGGCGGCATAGTGTTCAAGTCCTCAGCTGTTCAGCAAGGGGTTGGTGGTTCAAACCCTCCAGCCTCTGCGTGAGAAAGCAGGGCAGTGTGCTCCTAAAAGGCCAGCAGCCTGGGGATCCCCATGGGCAGAGAGAGCCATGCTGCCCTGGGGGTTCATGGCATGGGGACTGATTTGGCAGCACTTGATCATGCCAGGGTGACCTCGGGGCATCATCCCTGCAAAGCCCCGTTTCCCACCAGGTCCCATGCCCAGGGTCAGCTCTGAGCTGACCTTGCTGGCGTGCAGGTGCACTAGCGACCCTGGTCTGTGCCAGGTGGTCAGCCAGGTAGGATCTGCGTGCCTCTGTGCCCCATGCTGCAGTGGGCGGGCAGGCAGGCAGCTCTTTGTTCCCATCTGAGCCTGGTGGTCTTGAGCATCCCCATGTCCCAGGCGTCAGTGGGCGGGTGAGCAGGTGAGGAGGGAGTGGGCGGCTCTGTGTCCCAGTCTGTGTGAGGTGGACATTTGTCCGTGTCCCCGTGGGAGCCCGGTGGCACTGAGGGTGCATGTGCCCACAGTGCGCGCCCGGCGGCTGTCTGATGGAGCTCTGCATCCAACTCAGCATCATCATGCTGGGGAAGCAGCTGATCCAGAACAACCTCTTTGAGATCGGCATCCCGTGAGTGCGAGCCCTTCCCCTCTCGCTCCCCCTCCTCCCTCTCCCCCCTCCTCCTC